TACCAGAGTGAGTAGCATGGCAGAGGGTGGTCCTCTGGGGGTCCATGCCCACCGAACATACACCGGCCGGGTATGGGTGGAAATTCTCGGTCAGCTTACGCTCTAGGCATAAGGGCTGGGCGTGCAGTGACGGGAGCAGCAGGTCACTGGCACATGCGACACAACAATCCATGCTAATAAGGTGGCATGTGGATAACGGAACCAATGGAGCGTGTAAGGCGGCAAACCCCACCGCAACTGCACTGCTACCGGAGTATAAAGAGTCGAACACTCCGGCGACTACAGGAGAGATGAGGCCAGCAGCGGACCCGACCAACAATTTACTTGCTTCAGCTGAGGTGACCGCAGCATCGATAAGGAAGGTGGGTTGTTTTATATCCGAGATAGGATGACTCGGTTGACTTGTTTGGCACTGCTCAGGAGTTGCTGGAGCAGCAACCCGACTTACAGCTTAATGACTTTGGAAGGTAGTCGCAGCAGTCGATCGGAAAGGTGTGATTCACATTCAAGGTTAGATGGTTAGATGATTAATTGGTTGCTTGTTTCATTGCACAGGTGTTGCAGAAGCAGCAAACCCGACCAACACCATAACTACTTTAGGAATTGTACTTCAGGAATTGACCAGTGTCGGATAATTGACCACAGTGTCGATAAGACAGGTGTCTTAGGAAGATGACTCGGTTGCTTTGCTTCGTAGTTCGTTTTCACAGGTGTTGCAGAAGCAGCGATACCGATCGACGTTAACTTGTTTCAGAAGATGACCGCAGCGTCGATAAGAAAGGTGACTTGTTTGCTGTGCTTCGTTGCAGAGATGTTGCAAAAACAGCAAACCCGACAAACAGTTGAAATGTGAGTAGACTTCAGGTGACTGCAGAGGGAAAGATAGTGTTTAAGACGGAAAGTGGTTTTCGTCTCGTTTTATCTCCATTCCATGGCAGGAGGTAGTACGACTCGAATCCTTGCTTAGCTGCACTTTGCAAGTCATAGCAAGTGCAAAACTCTTCAGGAGTCCATCCCGTGGCTCATCTCCAGAGTAGGAAGATAGACATAAATGCTTCATGTTCTGCTTCATCGTGAATTACTGCGTGGGTCTTGCAGTTGAGATAACAAGGCAAAGAAAAATAGTAATTCGGCCGTCAGCAGTTACCATGTGAGCTGACTGAAGCCGAAAGGGTTCGATTTCAGCGCAGGAACGAGGCACGAGACGTCCCGAGGGAAGGTCTTTCCAGAAAAGCTAAACCGAGCAGAACCGCAACGGTAAGGGACAATACAACATTAACGAAATATTTGCTTGATTCGTTGTCTCGACTTTCGAGTAACACTTAGGTTAATGTTTTTATAGCAAGATTCTGGAGTAGCATCAACTGTGCAAACTGACCACACCTTTTCCTGTGGAACGATTTAAATATGAACCCGAAAGCCTATGCAGTTAGAACCTGCAATCCTATGTGAACTCGTTCAGCACTCATGTGAATCATTTGGCAATCCCAAAGCTGAACGAAGAGTCAACGTCATATTGAATGGAAGGTGTACCAGTTACTGTGGTTGACTTTCGTTGTATTGTCTGCAACAGACACCGCGCTGCCGAGTGGAGGTCCTGATGGATTTATCCAACCCTGCATGGAGCGCCACCGTCTCGTGAGTGACCAGCGACGGTGATGTCGGGTCACGAACAAAAGTAAGAACAACCTTGGAGATCGAAAGATCAAAAGCCAACGGGCATGTGCTCACTTGTTAAAGTAAAGCAGATGAGTTTGCTACAATCTACTTCAGAGTATGCATGAAGGTCGTGATAAGGGTCAGTTGGTGCTTGAGGTACAAGTTATGGTGAAGCAACAATCTTGTGCATTGCCTTGAATCTAGATCCAGCGACAATCAATGGATCTGTGCAGACCAAAGATGCGCGGGCATAGTACCGGCATAGCCATAGGACATGGACAAACTGCTCGTGTGCTGCGATGCTGGCATCGTCTGGTGCCTCTCAATGTCCTCAGGTCATTGGCGCCATAGCAGCAGAGCGAGTCCTACACAGGTATCTGAGATACCAGAAGGTCTACAGGCACAACGAACCTCTCGGCATGACAGATTGACTTCAACCCTAACAACTCACCCGAGCCCTTAGGTCCCACATCTCGATGCTGACTGCTGCCAGAAGTCTGAGCCGCATCCTTCTGTTATGACAGAGGCAAACGATCACTCGCCCATTGACTGTAACTTATCTTCCTCCATGCGTGGCAATTCAGAGCAGACGGATGGACACATCACGCTAACGCTCGGGAATTTTAAAGCCCAAGCCCGTATTGGGAATTGTTAACATGAGTACCTTTCATATTACATGGCGTGTTCCTCTGCTAATCCTTTTCGGTTAGCCCCGATATTCCTTATCCTTGAAACTGTCACAGGTCAGTAGCAAGATGTGGTTCCCAGAATAGCATAAATGTAAATATGCTTTGGTTGCTTTACCAGTATTTGGCATCAAGCAGCAGTACCAATTTGCAGTGCTTGGGTTATTGAAGCCATACGATCTGATGAAGTTATGATCAATTAAGATTCAAGCTACTTAGTACTTTGTATTTTGTACTAAAGTCATATTTTTAGGAAGATACAAAACGGTTTAAGACAGAGGGTTTGTCGCATTTGACTTATCAACGAGTCAAACTCAATTTAGACTGTGAACCATCTAACTATTACGTATGTGTACCCGTTCATCCCCAAAGGTTACAGTTCTTCGTTCGCTATAAAAATGGAAGGGATGTGAGAAATATTTTTGGTGAGTATTTTCTATCCGACCAGTGGCTTCTATCCGAACAGTGGAAGCTGGACAGCCACGGCTGACTGTTGTTCTGTTGGTGGGCCAGCGCCGCCTCCCACCGGCCACCATACGATGACGGCCGCCGGAGACCGAGCACCGGTACCACCGGACAAAAAGTGGAATCGGCAAGGCCGGGCTAGCGACTGTCTGCAGATCGGCAGAGAAGAGCTGAGCTGCACCTACGCTGCAGGGCAACTACCGACTGCAGTGGCTTTACCTGTTTTTGTGTGACCAGCGAGGAATAAAATGGGCGCGAGACCGAGCAGCGAGACACACTCCTCACACAGTCCACACCACGTTCGACAACACCCACTCTGCAACACTCCACTCAACATGCACCAGTAAGTACCTACGTAAGAATGACTCAGACCGGACGGTCTGCCCCAGCCAGCTCTCTTGGAGCTGTGCTGTGGGGACAAGGTGACGTGATGTCTTCTAGGAAGTCCGTTTAACTTGCCGAACTATTCGGTATATGGTTGAACTGTTTGTTTTGTCTTTCGGCTAACCATCCGGTTATCTCTTTCGGCTTTTTGTTTGGTGACCGTTGACCGCCGTTGTCCGGTCTCACTGCGCTGCTTGTGTTTCAGCCTGCCCGCCATCATGACGCTGACCAGGGAGCCGATTGGCTCGGCTTGGCGGCAGCAGGCTGTTCTTTCGGCACTCTTCCGGCCTCTCCAATATCGGCATACTCGAGTGCGATAGCAACTCGAGTGGGACTGATTTTCGGTCTTCTTTCGACACTCTTCCGTCTTCTTCGATATCAGCCTGTGCTAATGCAATGGCTATTCGTGCAGGACTGATTTTCGGCCTTGTCTCGTTTAATGACTCGATCGCTTCCTTTTGACATTTTGGTTTCGACCTCATCTTTTGGCTCATTTCAATATATCTACTTTTAACTCATGTTCACGTCTGTATGGTGGATGGTGTTGGGAACGAAGGAGGGAAAGGAACCAGAAACACACATATATCGATCGCGTTTTCATCAGTAATACCCCTAGACAGCATATAGAGTAAAAGATTGAAGAATATAATCCCCTAGACAACAGATAAATAATCAGGATGCAATGTAGGCTATACAAAGGGACCACTTTCAAATTACAAACAAAAACAGTTCCAACTGCGTAAAAAAATGCTTCGTGATATGGCACAACTGCGTCGACACTGTCGAAATTATTCGCGGGCAAATTCCTTGGAGTAAGAATAATTCCTTCTAAGACGTTTATAAATACTCTGCAGGGAATTCGATAATTTTTAGAAACTTATGTTATGTAGGTTTAGTTATTGCAAATAGGATGTGATTCTAGTAATTTTTGAAATTTAATGAATTACAATCCCCCAACATAATAAATAGCGAACAGACCAAAATTTGGTTTGAAGTAAGCCAGTAGTGCATGGAAAGTTTTCCCCCTACCAGTGAATCATGATGACATCATATGGATCGATTTCAATGACGTCAAAAAATACTAACCAATCACAAGCCAGATATTTTGTTTCGAGATAACTACATGACGTCATAGCACCAAAAGGTCGACCCGACCCCCACCGGACACGATTTGGTAGCCGAGGTCTGTGACGTCAGCCGGGCGTGAAGTTTTCCCTTCACCATAGCCTTCACACACAAACCGGCCGAAGTTCATGCCAGGATAGCCCGGCTTGAAAGGGCAAAAATGATTAAATTTTGCCCTCAATAGATTCATTGCTTCATTTTATAACTAAAAACGTCCGTTATCAGGACTCAATGAAGGTAAAAAGTACTCAAAATCGAAGTTTAAGAAAATGCTGTCCGAGCACAATCTGGTAACATCACGTGACCTCTTTTAAGCAGAATGTATATAATTCAAGGATGTTATTACACGATTGCTGCCTAAAACATCATAAATAATACGCTTGTAACATTTATTGCTTCTGTTTAAGTCATAACATTGCAAAACGCAAAGTTTATCATGGAAGTCACGTGACCAAAGGTATAGCAGGGGTTGGGACAAGCACTCAAAGGATTTCAAGTTTTTTAATTAAATTATATAAGTTTCATGATGAAATTGATAGAATGTATTTTTTCCTAATGAAATACAAATTTTCGTATGTAAAATATTTTCCTTATGGGCGAAATTCTCCATATAAGAAATGTCAGTGACGTCACCAGGGCTTTACTGGGCTTTACTCAAAACATCGGACCTACCTGTTTCTTATAGGTATCTTGGGTCGACCATGCCCAGCGGCGTCAGTTTGTGACATTTCGGCTGGGGGCGTCCAGTGGTGTGCGTTGTTTTGTGTTGGAGGTGTTCGTGTTGAAAACATCCACGAGATATCTTTCATTATCCACTGAATGCCTGTCATCCTTGCAAGAAGCTTAAGTGGAAAGTAAAGGATGTGCTAACAAGTAACAAGTTAACAACACCACTTGTTGCACTTCTTTGGGCCGTCGTGGTCGTGACTCGTGATTGCCTTGTCTCAGTTTCAAGAGTTGGTGTTCTGGTTTAATCGGGCCCTTCACCTTCTCTAAATTTCCTGGACATTTGTAGCACAATAAATTTTAATCCATTGAAGAGACTCAGACTTCAGCACTTCACAATTTCAATAGGTAAGAGACACAGTTGCATGTACCTACAGCTCGAGTTGCAATGACCAATGATCAATTGATAAAAACTGATTTTTAGTACGTAGGATGCAAATTAAATGTTCAAATGTGTGCAAAATGCAATGTCCATCAGTTTGACTGCTTTTCTTTTTCAGGTCGCAACTGCAATTTCTCAACTCACTTGAGTTTGTGTTCAATGTATTCCAGTTTGGCTTTCAGCAGGCATGAATGAGTTGCTTATTGAATGTCTTACCCTGTAAGTTATTGAAAGTATATCCTGGTGTAGCTGATTGAGTTTAGTTATTGTTGGACACAATACCCCGAATAACTAATAGCAATTACCAAAAACATTAGCCACCTAAAGGTGCTTGTGTTGGATTGGGAAGTGTTGCAATACCTACACCTACCTGTCTGGAGAAATTCAAATAATTTAAAGTGTTAGGGAAGTACACAATCACAAGCAAAGTATACTTTCACATAAGAGAGATATGTATGTCCCTCTTTGCTCTAATGTTGAACATTTTAAGGTGATGTCATAAGTGGTAGACTTTTGTTTGTTTTGACTAGATTATGTTGCAGCAGTTTTTGTAATGGTAGGTGGTGACTGGGACCATACTTTAAGAAAAATTACAAATAAGTAAGAATAGTTGTCATGCAAAATTTTGATCAAAATGAGATGAATTGAGTGAAGACTGATGACCAAAAAATTTAACGAATAGGTTACAGACAAGTCCCTTGCACATTAAGTGGCATTTCCCACAGCCACCCCAGCTGTTAGCAGTGGGCCAGCGGCTGAGTACCGGTGACGCCCGCGGTCGGTGCGATCTCTGGCCGGCTTTGTGGGCCTGGGCCGTCCGTCCACACTCGGCGATGACGTGATGGCCGGGTGGCTGCCAGGCCGACCTGGCACAGGCCCGGGACGTGCGTGACGCGTGTATCCGACCCGGCAGCCGCCGTCACCGCCGGCTGTTGTGACAGGTCGGGGATGCGGGGGAAAGAGCGTCGAGGGCATACGAGGGAGAGAGAGGGACCGAGCGAATACGGGAGAAGAGAGAGGTCGAAGGGATACGGGAGAAGAAGAGGTCAAAGGGGTACGGGAGAAGAGAGAGGGCGAAGGGATACGGGAGACGAGGGAGGTCGAAGGTATACCTACGGGAGAAGAGAGAGGTCGCAGGAATACGGGAGAAGAGAGAGGTCGCAGGAATACGGGAGAAGAGTCGAGAGAGAGAGAGAGAGAGAGAGAGAGAGAGAGAGAGAGAGAGAGAGAGAGAGAGAGAGAGAGAGAGAGAGAGGGAGAGGGAGAGGGGGAGAGAGAGAGAGAGAGAGAGAGAGAGAGAGAGAGAGAGAGAGAGAGAGAGAGAGAGAGAGAGAGGGGGGCCTAGGGATACGAAGGAGAGAGCGCGCGGGAGAGGTACGAGGGCATAGCCCGAGGGATTGTCTGTGCAGGGAGGCCCGCCATCATTTATTGATGTCCTTAATTTGCTTCGGTGTCATAGTTTGTGTGAAATGGGACTTTCTACCCAACCGTCATGCCCAAATCGATGGAGCGTAGGGATTTTGCTTCGTCACAAGGCTGGAACCTGCCAGCGGATTAAAACAGATCTGTTGTCGCTTGCCTCAATTGCCCCGGAAAGTCTTCTTTTTCAGGAAACAGTTTCTTGTAGGTGTGGTGGCTTACAGATTGCATGCGTAAGGTGCAGGTGCAGAATAGTTGGGCCTCATCGGCTCTCTAAGTTTGGTCGTATCAATGTTCATTGTTCATATTGACATCTGGCCTGATTCATGATTATTCTGATTTAGCTTAGGTGCTCCACGAAATAATGAATGGTTGTGTCCAAAACGCACGGTTTGAAGCATCATTACCCGTTGTTGCATTTGCATTTTCCTCCTTCTCTTCAGTCATCGTGCATCGCGTGCCACTTCAAGTCCTTTTTCCGCTGTATATAAGAACTGGTTTCAACTGGCTTTAAGCTGCTGCGATTCATAGTAAATTCATGTCGTTATAATTGCACAATGCGGCTCGATTGTCCTTTCCAAGTACTGATTTCATCTCTTTGTACGCAAATGACTGGTGAGTTGAACTACCGCGCGCAGCAGTGGTTGTTAGTGCTCTGCAGTGACGGTGAGCCCCCAATCGGGGCGGCGGCTGTCGGCGTGTTCCCAATCGGTGCCCTGATAGCTCGTCAAACCTACCACTCCATTATCTGATGGGCGTGCTGCGGCGCCGGGAAAAGTCCCGCGCGGCCCCGCCGGCCGGAGCGCCGCCTCTCCCCGGCGCGGTCTGTTGGCCGCCCCCACCTCCCTCCGTCTCACCTCCTCGGGAAGCCCGCGCTCGAGTCACGCCTTCTCAGTCGGCGGCGCCAGAAATCCCGGCGGAATCGACACCGGCGAGGTCAGCCGAACGACCGGTGATCGGAGCGGTTGGCGGCCCTCAGCGGCGTGGGGCGCCATCCTCATGAAAGAGTAATCATCGGTGTAGTTTCTTTGTTTCTTTTCCCTCTAGGTTTTGTTGGAGTGCCTCCGCTGCCACCTGGCTTAGGCTGCAAAGACCCGGAATATTGGAGAGCTTATAAGCCATCAAATCATGAGGGACATGACGGACCGTGCTTAGTCCGAGCGCGGTTAGTCTGTGACCTCTGGAACTCTGGACTGGTTGCGTTGAGTGGTGTCAAAGTCGCGGAGTCGGCCCCGCCTGTCCTGAGTCCTGAGTCCTGAGTCCCTCGTTGACCTGTGTACTGTGTCTTAGAGAGACCTGTCTGCCATGGAGACTGACTTGTGTTCTGTGTTTCAGAGCACCGGTGTCACCATGGAGACTGACTTGTGTTCTGTGTTTCAGAGCACCGCGGTGCCACCATGGAGTCGGCGCCGGCGGACGGACCCCGGAACGGGAACCTCAACATCAGCGATGTCTGTGAGTAATGAGTATCCTACAACGGCCGGTGACTGATGTCGGCCTCTTTACCGGTGTCACGCTGACAGACAACATCCTCCAAATAGCCGGGGTACCCCTACAGATACATACCGCACGGTGTCCAAGGTATCGTACCCTTCAGCCTTCAGGTGCCAGCTCTTCATTCAGACGGAGATCATGTTTTATACATTAGGGTGGCTGATCGACGACTGAGGTGTCTGGCCCGTATTGGGACCTCGGGTGTCGTCCTGGTTTCACGGCCTGCCTGTCCGTTCCATTCAGGACAGTCTGCGTCCACGCCACACGTGGCTGCTAGTGAGTCTGATCACGGGCCTCCGGAGGGGCGGGGGGTATAGAGTGCGTGACTACGTGTCCTTGAGCGGGCCGTGTGCGCACGGCGCGGGCCCGGGGTCGTGATGTGACCCTGGCCAGGTAACCCGTGCCGAGCTGCGGCCCACGACAGGAAATCCGTCTCCGCATCCGGCCGGGCCCTGGAAATGTGTGTCGAAGTGTATTGGATGTGCCATTCGAAGCAGAATGGCAAGATTGCTGAAGTTCTCTTCATATATTCGAATTTGGGAGCTCTATATTCCTTGGTTTGTGTTATAGGTCCCATGCATTCAGTGGCGCGGGAACCGGGGGGGGGGGACGCTAGCGGGGGCTGAATCCCTCCAACTTTTCGGCTGGGGGGGGGGGGGGCACAGTGATACAAATGGGGTCCACGAGTGGCCATAAATACCGAAAAGGCCCAAATTTCAAGTTCACCCAATCGAATAAAACGTAATATGGCCAGTCAGGCAAATGTTTGGGGTGTCTGAAAAAGTATGATTTTCATAATTTTGTCAAAACCAGCCTCGTGTATGATTGTCAGAAGTCGTGACATTTTCTATACCGTAAAATGACTGTCAGATACTCGCAAGTTCACAGGCCGCTAGCGTGCGTTCATTTCGTACAAATGGCAAAAATTATACATGACAATGATCCCCAAAGTCTGCTGCTTCTAATGCAGGGTCACAAATAGCCGTACCTTTTTTGGTTTGGCGTTGATTTCACTATTTGTCATCATGTTGCAATCGCTGTTTTTTACTAAAAAATATTTGCTTTCGTTTCACCTACAGCAGTTTACACAGTGTGTGCCCGTTAGTGCACCATACCATAGCATTCCCTAATCATTTCTGAGCCGCACTGTGAAAAAAATTAAGGCGCTAGCACAGGGCTGACCGGCGCTACTAAGGTTTTCGTCCGTTGCGGTCGGGTGCCGCGGTGGGCGGGCGGCCGCGCCGCGGGCGGGCGGCCACAGCGGGGGTTCGCCGGTGCATCCCTCTCCTGTTCCTAAACGAAGTGCCCTAGCGCCTTGCAATAAAAACCAACGGATTGCCCTTGACAAGATCTCGCGAGTGAGCATATTACTTTTGACTTAAGGTCAATATTTGACCTACTTATAGCAGGTCAAAGTCAAACGTCTGTCGAAATTGCAATCCGCGGTGAAAGCAATCCGCCCCGACCGCGGCACCCGACCGCGCCGGACAAAAACTTCAATAGCGCCGGTCTGCCCTGTGCTAGCGCCTTAATTCTTTCACGGTGTGGCTCAGAAATGATTAGGGAATGCTATGGTATGGTGCACTAACGGGCACACACTGTGTTAGCTGCTGTATGTGAAAAGAAAGCAAATATTTTTCACTAAAAAATTGTTATTACAACATGATGACAGATGATTAGATCAGCGCCAAACCAAAAGAGATACGGCTTTTTGTGACCCAGCATGAGAAGCAGCAGGCTTTAGGGATCATTGCCATGTATAATTTTTGTAGTTTGTATTAAATGAACGCATGCTAGCGGCGTTTGAACTTGCAAGTATCTGACAGTCATTTTACGACATAGAAAATGTCACGACTTCTGACAATCATACACAAGGCCGGTTTTGACAAAAACATGAAAGCTATGTGATTTCAGATGCACCAAACATTTCTTTCGTTAGCCATATCGCGATTTACTCGGTTTGGTAAACTTGACTTTTTGGCATTTATGGCCACTCGTGAACCCCATTTGCATCACTGTGGGGGGGGGGGGTCTTGTAATGTATTTGAGCCCCCCCCCCCCAGCTGGAGGAATCGAAATCGGAAATCTACCAACATAATTTCATAGATTCACACATAGGCGCGGGAACCGGGGGAGGGGCAGTGGGGGAAGCTTGCCCCCACAACTCTGGGGCCGTGGGGGCGGTGCCCCACAACTTTTCATGAGGTCAGGAACCGTTGGGGCAGCTTGTCCTCCCCAAATTAGGGGTTGTGGGTCACAAAGCAAGAAAGCATGTAAGTGAAAAATCCACCTCTTTCACTGGCTCGGCAACTCATTGGCAGATTAAAACCTTTATTCCAGGCTGCCAAAACGGCAGTTTCTTCACTCAGCTGAGACGGAATACCTCACTTTTTTTCTTTTTCGCTTTTTTTCCGTTGAAAAGGCCAAGGTCTGAAAAATGTGGCCTAAAACCGGTGAGAAAACTAGATTTGGGGGTACCCTAGGTTGATCTCTATTATGGTTGAGCCCCCCTCCCCCCCCCCAGTCTTGAAGAAGTTCCTGCTCCACTGCATGCATTGAGTGAGTTTTCTTTCATTGGGGACTTTTTCATGTGAGCCATGCGCGTATTGGGTAGTTCCCAAAATGTAGGCACGCCTGATGGCTTGCCAGACCCCTATTCGTGCTTTGGAATGATTCGATACCAGTGAGGTGAAGAGCCACAGTCGCTGTAAATGAAGGCTCACGGTAGGATGGTCACGGCTCGTAAAGGAGAGTTCAGACAGGTTTCGCGGTATTGACTGCATTGTGCCGGATCCATTAATGCGTGGCGAATCGGCGCCGGGCGGGTCAGAGCAGCGCGACATGCTCGGTTGTGAGGCTCTTTTGTCCCTTCCGCCCTCCCGTTCAGGGCTGTTATGCAGGCTGTTGCATGGTTCCTGTGTTTTCGCTGATAGCGGTGGGATGCTGTGTTCCGGGTAGTTAGGTCAGCTGGGTGAATAGCGCCCGGTGCTGCGCATGTGTTTGGTGCTGTTTTCTGCCTCTGAAGTTCCGCTTTTGTCGGATATCCGTATTTTATTGGCAGCCGATGGGAATGGGTTCCCGACGAGTAAATCATGCCCGATGGTGAGGGCCGTTTTACCATCCCATGGTGGTACTGTGCGGGGTTTAGGTGGTTCTAACGGCGCCGACAGTAGGTGCGGAATTTCATCGGTCGGCTGTTTATACGCGCTCTTCGTCCTCGGCTCGCCGGCGATAGCTGTTTGGAAACGACTCCAACGATAACATCCGGCACGGTGAAGGGCGGCCAGCGGAGGCAGACGGGCGCCGGGCTGGCCGGCCTTTCCACCTCTGTCGCAGGGGCAGCTATCGGCCGCAGCTTCTGACCGGTCAGCCCGTCCGACGGCAGCCCTCCCAGTGGCGGGCAGCTCGCTCCTGTAGCTAAGGCCGACAGCTGTCCCCTGTAGGGCTGACAGCTCGTCCCTGCCGGCGCCGCTCCGTCATTTTGTGCCCCATTGGCCACACTGTGTGTTGGCTGGGAACCGTATCGGTCGGCCTCGCTTTGCCGACCGGTCACGGCTGCCTGCGTCACCGTCAACAGACAGCGAAGAACTGGTATCGGACTGAACATATTGAACAGCGGATATTGCACAGGCAGTGGGTGGTGAATATTAAAGAGAGGATGCGGGACGATAGGTTATAAACATTGAACGGAGAAGAGCAGATGTGGGACAGGCCAGCGGGTGGACGGTGGGCTCCGAAACCCAGAGCGCTGCGCCATGGGAGCCATGATCCGTGACAGTTACATATGTAGTCAGCCAGTCACACCTGACCCGACCGCCCCTGATCGGCCTGCGCCGTCTCGCGGCAGACGTTTCAGCGCTCCGAGCCCAGTGGCGCGGGCTGTCGGTCCGCTCAGTGGAATGAAGGCTTAGTCGCCGCTCAGTTACAGCGCTAATCCGACCAGTTTGTGATTTTCACGGCTGCAGACGGGTCTCGAGTAGGCAGTGTGGCTGCAGCCAGTTGATGAGTTGATGACCTTGTGACTGCTGAGTATCGGCCGAGAGTCCTAACCGTAATTTGTGGCACATGGCCATACATCATATGCCACATAAGGGCTTCATTGATGTGGTCTGTGAAAAAAGAGGATTAGATGAACGAGTAACGCCTTTTCATTGAGGCAAACTTTCATGCCTTCATTTTATTGTCCGATGCTTTGTTCAAGCCGTGGCAGACATGTGAACTACCTATCGGATATAAGTCGTTGCTGGGTACCGAGCCCAAATGCAAGGATTTGTGGCGGCTCGTAAGCAGCGAAAACCAAGTACCAAGTACCAAGTCCTTTGATGCATTACAAGATCATCTGCCCAGCGGCGGCCTCGACTTACTGCGTAGCGCCTGAATAAATTGGCACGAGGGCAAATCGGCCCAAGATTCTTACATATAGGCCATCGACGGTAAATGTGTCGTCGCGGCCACGTCACCAGCTCTGCGAAAACCGCCGAAAGCTCCGTCAGCCGCTCTCCGGGAATCCGCCCACGGGTTCGCTGAAGGCAGCGGTGGCTGTGCGCGGCCGGCCGTGGGCGCTGGGCCGCCGGCCGGCCGGCCGCCCGCCGTCGGTCCGCGCGCCGCGCCGGCGCTCCCCTGGCCGCCGGCCAGTCGGCGCGTCGGTCTGGCCGACGGCCAGGTTCCGGCCGATCGTCGGCGCCGACGGCCGCCAGCCGACGGTCCGTGGGGGTAGCCGGTCTGACGGTCTACAGGGGTCGCTGGTCTGACGGTCTATATACAGGGGTCGCTGGTCTGACGGACCGAGGGGGTCGCCGGCGTCGGGCCAGGTCATGTAGGTACCGCTGGAGATGGGAGAAGTGCAGTGCAGTCCGACACTTTTCACGGCTGAGCTGCGACGTCAGACGTGATTTAGCCAGATGTGCAACATCAAGTAATTTACGTTGCTAAAGTATCTAAAAAAAGATAATGAGATGAGA